TGGTTTGCATTGTTTACTATATTGCACAGAAAACATGTGGCTGCACATCAGTATAACTGCAGAGAGCATTTCATTTCAGGACCTGTCCCCTCAGCTGGTATGTGTTAGATTCAAAACCCTCCCACCTTGGCTATCACAACAAAATACCAGAGATAGATGTCCTGGGCATAAACACTGTGCTTTCAATGAATCCCCCTCTGGGTGTTACTCTGCATTCAGCCCGGTCCCTGTTCTCTGCCCGCGTGCTCGCTGCCCTGCATACTGAATGTCAGACTTAGTGGCATGGAAAACATTTCCTGTATTCCTCGGTGATCCTCTCTTTAGTTTGAATGAGGTGACGGGGGGGGGGGGGTGCATTATCATTGCATGTACAGTCACACACAATGACAATGCTATTAGTTCCCATGTAGCCTTTTACTGTGCCCAGTTCTTAAAAACGATCAGGGGAGAGGGAAAGTATTTGTGTAGGATGCATGTCAAGAGTGGGACTAAACAGGCCTTTAGTAGCAGCCACACTAAGCTTTCTGCCGGGCAGCGGGCATTCTTCCTCCATCCCCTATCCCATGAGCCTCTGCTGCTGGGACAAAGTCTTCTTTGTATGCCCATGGCTCTTGGCTAGAGCACACAGAGCTTTGAAATTGTGTTTGAACGATGGGATTTTCATTTCTATCCCTCCTTTTCGTGCCTGCTCTCACCCCTCTTCGCTTTCACTCTGCACTGAGTCTTGACCCTCATAACCCTTCTCACCCTTCTCACCCTTCTCACCCCCCAGCTTTCTCTTAGCAACTACTCAAGTGGGACAGTATTACTTTGACACCAACACTGCTTGTAACCAGCTTCAGTTTTAATTAGATAGCACAGGTAGGAATCATCAATTTATCATACAGACTTAGAAAACCCCTTTAGATAAAGAATTTACAGTAAATACTTACAGGAGTGACTTAAAAGGGTGACTTAAACACTGTCAAATTAAACATATGTTTTAATGTCTCACGACTAGAGTTTTTTCATTAAACGTCTTACCCTCCAACCCTCCTGCTAACTCTTTTTTTAGTGGTGTGAGTCTTTCAATATCTTTTGATTCAATTCCATTTGGATTCTTTGGGTCACAAGTCAGTTAAGAATTGATTTTTGTTTCAAACAAATTACTAATGTATTGTGGACCGATTGAAAATGCATTCCCTATTTTTTCCCCTGATAACAGCTAGGCTATCAGGGGAAAGGAAATGAAACAGACGATGGATCTTGGCATTTTCTTTGTCCGTTCAGAATTGGCTGCAGTTTGGTAAAGTGATGCTGTATGTGTCGGTCGGCAGTTGTTTGCCATTGTTCCACTTATTTAAACTCCGGGTGGTGAGAAGTAATGTGAGGTCGGCCATTTGTCTCGTTCCTAAAGGACTACTTTTCAGTTTGCAGATGCTGCATCCTGAATACGTCGGGTGAGGCTTCCCCTTACCTGATGGATTGGAGGATCCACAGTGCCCTGAAACGCTTTCCGTCAATGAACACGGGACGGGCTGAATGTCTTGCTGCTCCATATTTAGTACAGGCAGTACGTTAGTGTGTCGGACAAAGCCAGAGGCAACATTTCTGACGCTGAGAGCTAGATAATGTTAGCAGCGCGATTGAGGATTCAGGAGCTCTTGGGGGCATCTATGTACAAAGGAAAGTGGAGAGGGTGAATAGAGGAAAATGCAAGCATCAGGTTTGTCGTGCTCTGGTGAGAATTCTCGTAGTAAGTAAGAAAGTATGTTTTCAAAAATCTTTTTTTGGAAGTTTTGAATCAGTTCAGAATCTTCTAAATAAATAATTGCGATGCTGACTTGAATCGCATTACTGACAAGTCCACCACAGGCGGCTGTTTATTATTTTACACTTCACTGTTTGTGTCTTGAATGTTGAATATAGTGCTGGGGTTACAACCATGTTTTTAAAATTCTACAAGATCAGTATAAATTATCTGTGTCAGAAAGATGAAACAGGGAACAGCATCAAATTTGAGGGCTCACCTATACCCTTCCTGTCATCTAGCTGTGAAAAAGCAACTGCACTCCCACCTCGCCAAGTTTTCTTATTGCACACACCCGCTGCTAGTTGTGAGTTTGGAGTGGCTGAAGAATTGGGCAAGGTGCCAATTACAGATGTGAAAGGAAAGGAAAAGGTAATACTTAGAAGAAAATCAGTGCTTACCTTGATTTTAAAGGGAAAATTATGAAGACAAAATATTTCATGAATATTTCTTGTGAAAATAAAAACGGTTACTTCGATGCTTTTACGAAACAATATTTTTTTATATTGACTGCACACGTTTAAGGTATACAGCATTAGTTTCTCTGTACGTTTGGGGCTTTCACACTCACTTTGCATCGTTTGCACATGATTTAGGCAATATAGCTATTTCAAGCTTGTTTTAACTGTTTACTGTAATCATAGTAGATCTCAGTGTATGTGTGTCAGCTAAATGTGTGAAAGGCACATGTAAATTATTCCACCTGAGGTGTTATTAAACAGGCTGCAGTGACTCAAGCTAGTTGCAGCTTGTGTTAACCTGCGAGTGTGTATGTGTAAGTGCCAGCAGACAGTTTATCCCCCCCACCCAGTAATCTTACAGTTGCATGTCTGGCTAGTATGCTGTTTTTTCTTTATTGTCCTGAAGAACACCCAAAGAAGAGAAACTGCATGTCTCCAACTTATGTTCTGTTTAGTCGCTTTCATCTGACTGACTAAAAGAATGAATCACTCAGTGTGGTAAGTGGCATTATACCTGGTGTTGTATGGATGTAGATGTCTTAAAGAGAGCACAGTAAAGTACTCAACTCTAAGGTGAGAGATATTGATAGACCCTTTATTTGAGAACAGAATACAGCTTCTTATTTCCCTTCTCACCAGTTGGAAACCTTGAAGAAAAAGGCCAGCGACACAAAGAACTTTAGGGACTTTGTTGCCATCCTATGTGCCACTGCTACCCTGTGAGAATTGACTGACTTCCACCAACTCAAACGCAAACTCACACCAACAGATAGTTTGCTGAAAAAAGGCTGATGGACAGCGAGGTTATTCAAAGTAGTGCACATACACACGTGTCAGAAAGCAATGGCAAAAAGTGATTGATTGATTTGTCCCAGACACTGCTGTTAGCTTTGCTGCACCAATTTGGCAGAACAAAGTCACACCTTTTAAAATTCAATTTCTTGCATACAGTTTTTTTACGACATTCATAGCTTGACCAAACTGTAATCCTAGCAGAGGTTTTTTTTTTCATTTAACAAGAAAATGTTTAGGGTACTGGGATCCAACTGCACAAGCTGTTCTTAATTTCTAACTTGACATGGAGACAGGAAATGTATATGGCTTTGCGGCAATACAGTTCACACGCCTTCAGTTATTGAGATAAGCCAGATAACTCATCCCAGTACTGTTTGATACAATGGCTGAGGCCTAGAGGACGAGGAGGGTGACAGATGAAGCTAAGAAGAGAAAGAGTGACCGAGTAAGAAGCAGAGTGTACATTTCTGCAGATTGTGATGCAAGGTTAGGCTGAATTGTTAATGGGCGTTGAGGTTGTCTCTTGCATACAAAAAAATAAATCCATTGGAGGTTTTAATTGCTTAAGATGCTACAGTGACTTCCTGTTGACATTGTTCATTACTGTTGATTGGACAGCATAGATACTGCCCAGTAGCAGATTAACACGTTATTTAGGACATTAACAAACTTCCTTATATTTATTCAACCTGTTTTAGTAAATCGCTAGGTGAAACTAACTCTTACTTAGCTTGAATTTGGGAAGGACTTTACTTTCCAACTGGTGCAGTTCTCCGCCTTTAAATGTAGATGTGCCTTGATAAAGTCATGAATCACACCTTTGCTTTTCCAGCTTTTATAAGTCAAGAAGTTTGCTGTAAAGAGGTCTGCTTGCAAAACTTTAATCAAGCAGTATTTGCTTGTCAGATAAATACTATCAAATTTGAAATTAAGTCGAGTTACTTTGACTAGGTAAATGACTCTTGAGCACACCATGCAAATATTATAACACTGCAGTTCAATACCTGGAGCAGATATGTGATCATTTCATTCATTTTATACTTTCAAGGAACACAGAGTACCTCTATTGATGCACCATGTAATGATCTTGTGAGGTCATTTGCTGATGACATAATTATCTTTGTGTGCAGTTTTCTACACGCATGAGTCTGCTTTCATGAAAGGAAGCAGTGATTGTGGGCTATCATGCAGAGTTCAAACATTGTATCCACTCGTTGGAACTATAGCTTTAATGGTATTTGCTATTGCCGGCGTGTTTGAAAAGCACTGAAATGTTTAATGTATGTATCAGTCCTGTTGAGATTCTGTTTGTGTTGCTCTCTAAATATTCAAACGAGAAGACAAGGGGAAGGAAAGCCAAGCCTTGGCTGAAGAATCGGCCAGTTTGTGAACCATTTCCTAATTGTTAATGAGGGCCTCCAAGGGCAGCTTGCCAAAGCTAGAGGGCCAATGGCGAAGGCCTGTTTGAACAGGGGGGCAGAGAGGGAGAAGGGGCTAGCTGTGGGGACACGGTCACTGAGGGGGACCCCTAAACCCCATTAGCCCCCTCCTACCTGGTTCACAAAGTGCTGGAGCAAGCAGTTGAGTGCGACTGTCACTTCCACCCGAGACTTTAATGAGGGTCTAGCAGCGTCTTTGGGATACTGGAGACCTTCTGTCACTTACCGACTGCTATCAAGGAGCTAAACCTGGGTCAGCTGATTGAGAGAGCAAAAGGGGAGTCACTTAGTTGGTAAAGATGTCAAACAATAACAATAACCAAGAGGAGAAGGAGGAAAAGGAAGAAGACACGGAGGAGAAAGAAGAGGAGGTCATGGTGAAAATCCCTCCACCTCCACCTCCTCCTGAGTTCAACGGAAAGAGTTCACCTGAGGAGGGGACGCCGGTGCCCGGACCTTTGCCCAACGGGCACCAGTTTCAACCTGTGAACCAAAGTATTTTTACTCTCTCCTCAGTCTCACCAGCAGCCGAGAGGATCCGCTTCATGCTTGGGGAGGAAGATGATGGCCCAGCACCCCCACAACTCTTCACTGAGTTGGATGAGCTCCTGTCAGTGGATGGACAGGAGATGGAGTGGAAAGAAACAGCCAGGTAACAGCTTAGTCTAATTCTTTTGGATCTCTTTCAGCAGGGTTCCTGTATCTATATCTTTTGGTTTTAAAGTCATTGATGTCGTCAATTAATTTTCACTCAGTCAGTCAGTTAGTATAAAAGTTATACAAGTTGATTATTAAAACATCATCTCCATCGTCTCATCATCATCTCCACTGCAAAAATCTTTGTGTTTATTTTCAGGATATAATAAACTCGCTTTTGATGCGTTAGATAACTGACAACCATTTCATAGTCAAGTAACTGCACAAACATTTGTAAGCCTCAACTAACAGTAGGAAGCTTGCTGTGTGCTTTGAATTTGGAGCAGCACAAAAGGCAAGCACACAGTGCTCCACAGGTTCCCTTTGTGTGGCCCACTAGTGGGTTGGGATGGGATAGAGATGGGATGATTGTTTGTGCATCATTAGCGTGGATGAGTGAAGCTCTCTTGAGTAGGAAACTGGATGCCTGGGCTGCTGTTTCAGGCACCAAATGAGTTGATTTGTTATCTTAACCTCTGACCAACTGTACTTCGGATAGACGGTACATTTTGGTTCACTGTTGGTGCAATGATTTTCACAGAACCTTTACTTAAGAATGCTTTCATCACTGACTCTCTGTATGCTCTAAAACTGCAATTACATTTGTTCAAAGGAACTCTAAAAGTCCAATTATTCCAAGTGAAATTATCTAGACATTTTAAGCATTTAGCAATATTATTCACAGATAATAAATCTTTCTAGATTGAGAAGTTAAAGGTCCAGCATTAGGCTTTTACTGAATCACTTACTCAAAATGTCACTTTCATCACATATCAGTCAAAATTCAAATTATTTTAAGAGAGGATTTTGCTGTCCCACACAGTGGGTTGGGAAATTATGTTTCTGATCTTGTTAGGTTTACTGGAAAAAACTCTATTACAAAAAAACAAACTGACAAGAAAAACGTTAATCTACCTGGGATTGTTTTTTAGGTACAACTAGGTTAAAATAGAATTTATTGTCACTACTCCAGATTATTATAGTCAGCATACAGGGGAATACCAAGACAATGTCTTCACTAAAATGGAT